TTTGCATACAAATCTCCTTCTACTCAATTCTGTTGAAATCTGAAACAAACGTTGTGGTCTATTCTTTAGGTCTTTTTTTTTTTTCTCGGTTTGCAACTAATCACCCTTTTAGGATCCGTTTCCTCTCTGACCTAATTACTTAAATTATATTTACCAGATACATGCTTGAAATTTAGTGTTCTGTAGGCTTCTAAATTACCCAAAAGTCATGCTTTCTAGGTGGAAATATTTAATGCATTACTTTCTTTTTATAGATCTTCAAACTTTGTTTTTCTCTTAATGTAACTGGCCAAATACATGTATATAAATAGCTGTAGGAAGACTCTCCTAATCTTAAATCTTATCAGACCTCATACTTCTTTTAATAAAAATTACTGATTCAAATGATTTGAGTATGGATATCTAAAATAGATAACCCCTGCTCTATCAAAATATTATTTAAATTATATTATTCAAGATAATCAAAAACCCTTTTGAAATATATCTGGTGAACTATACTTTAGTATTTTCATTTTTTTTATATTATCAACCATAAGTAAAATATTTATCAATAGTTGATCACTTGATCATAAATTTATTAATTTAAATGTATTTAATGCAAAATATTTAGGCAATCTATTTTTTATTTGTGAAAATTCTATTGACCTCTTTACACTTAACAACAGGCTTAGCCAACCCAAGTGGCCTCATAGGTACTTTGGAGATGGGTTACTGTTAAGCTAGTAGCTTTTTAGCTAAATACACTTTTAACAAGTATAATATTTTTAAAAAGTACAAAACTTTACTGTTCCACTATGATTCAATATACTCACATCTTTTAATTAATGAGATATTGGTTTATCCTTTCTTTAACTAAATTTTTCTGAAAAAATTTGGCTTTTTTGGATATTAAACTACAGAACCGGATTTCATAGTTTTTGGATGTTTAATAATTTAATTTTCATTTAATGTTAAAATGTTTTTAATTTAATAAAATTAAATTTTCATTTAACTGATATAATTTTTAAAGATATAACAAAAAATTAAAGTTTAGAAATATAAAAATGTCCGTACAATGTAACGTGATGGGCCATTGTTGTTGCTTTATACTAAGTATGTTAGTGCATTAACAACTGCAGAATAAAGAACAAGAATTGTTGACCAAAAAGGAAACAGCCCCCTCGTTGTTTTTAAAATATAAAAATAGCAATAGTAAAAACGTGTATAAATAAAGATTTATTGAGAAAGATTCAAAATGAAAGAAACGTAAAATGTAACCAGATTTCAGTTTATATAATGGCTATTATAATTAAACAATTAATAATGATAAATGTAGCATGACTAAGAAACAACCCTTTAAAATCCGTTCATGAGATCATTGTTAAAATATACAGAGGATATAATGAATTGGAAAACTTTTCCTTTTTTTTTTTTTTTCATACACCAATAAACAGCAGTTTTCTTAAATAATTTGTAGCTGTAGTAATTCTGAAATTCATTTTCATAAAAACATACAAAGTGCATAAATACTTAAAACTATAAGCAATATAACTTTTGTTTCCCCTCTTCTTATTTTGAGACATATATATTTAATGAGCTTTGTTTCAACCCATTTGTGTTTTTATGACCATATTTCACTAATTATTGTGAAACATAACAGCCTTCCAAAAGTAGGCTTTTACATAATTTATAAATAACATTAAACACAGAGTAAGAATAACATATAGATTAAAAACAACATTCAACAATTAACATTCAAACATTAATGGGGGGCAGGAATTGGTATTAGTGGAGACAAATCGTTTATAATAAAAATCGCCGTTTTGATAAAAATAAAAACATTCACGTATCTGACGTAAACAGAACACATACAGAATGCAGGACAGGGCTATCATGCAGTGGATCGCTTTCGCTAAATCAGACCATTTCCACATGCCCGGGATTTTGGGGCAGGCTCCTCATACCTGATTCTGCAGTGGATTTTGACAAAAACAAAAAAAAATCATATGCATATTCACTATATCTATAAAATAAATTTCAAATATTATGCATTAATGCAACTAAAACAATAATACATTTTGGTTGATTACCTTATTTTGATAATTGTTTTAATATCTGATGTAAAGAAAAGAAAAATTAAAATTAAATGACCCCAAAGAAAACATTGAAATATTTATGCAAATTTCACTACTAAGATTATTGTACCTGTTAAATTAATTCATTGGAACAACAGTTACATAAATAAGGAGATTAAATACACCCATCATTTTTGTTTAATTCATGTTTTTTTTAATTCATTAATGAAAAAGTTAAGTTTAAACATTTTAAAAGTTGAGTAATAAATTAAAGTACTATATTTTCAAACAAAGCTAAATAATTATCTCAGAAAATGGGAAAGAAATTCAAATTAAACTACAGAAAAAAAAAATGTAAATTATTAATTACTTTCTAAAGCTAACATACTTGTTTATAACTTAATTCAATTATTTAATTCAACTTGGCACATCACTTTATATCTTTGAAAGAATATTACGAAAAACCGAGATCTGATGTTGATTAGAATTATTTGGAAAAAGGAAGTGAGGAAGTTTAATATGATCAGGTAGTGGAGACATTCAAGTGAGATAGAGAGAGCACACAAAACATGCTTCATCACGTCTCAATGCATCATCATCATTGGCATTAAAACAGCCTGAGGCTAGCCTCAACACTCAAATTCAGCGAGCCACATTCTAGTTGAGGTTAAGTCCACAGGTAACAAATAAATAGTTTTTATGTCGGGAAAAAAAAGAAAGAAAAGGAATTCACATGAGCAATTATAATGGTTCATTACTTGTATCTTTATACAGTATGTCAATTAATTAGAAACTTTGATAATTTTAAAATGAGTGTAAATGGAAGTTTTTAATAAGAGAAAGTAATTGTCAGTGACAACCAGACATATAATGGCATTAAAAAACTGAAGCTAAACTAATACATTTCACAGTTAAACAGCAAACAATAACTGCTACATGGAGTGCTAAATTTAAAGAAAAAAAAAGACTATGACTTAATCAAATTGTATTTACAATGCATGAAAATAGATTTTTAAAAATGAAATATCCACTAATTCAACTGTGAAAGTATTTGGTTAAGAAAGTGAACAATAAAAATGTAAGATTACCATGAGAGGTATATTACAAAATTTCATAAATATTATATACTTTTCAACATGCTAATATACATCATTAGAATTGAATAAATTCACTAAATGAAAAAAAGAAATAGCTATGGACTTTTCAAGCAAATACGCTAAAATACTGACCCAAAATGGAAAAATAATTACTTTTATATAGCTGGATGTTATACAAAAGCTATAAAACTTAAATATTATTCCACAAATTAAAATGATAGAAGTGGAATATGTCTTTAACAAGCACCAGCTATGGGACATAACTTGAAAAATTATCTATTATCTTATCAGGGTTTATAGGCAGGCTTCTGCTGAAAAGCCAATTTGAATCTACAGAAAGTATAATAGTGGAAAGGTGGGCGGGGTAGCCGAATGGGCTAACGCGTGTGCACAGCACCACCGTTGCCCGGCAACCTGATATATGACAAATGTTACAAAAATAGTTACGACTTCACGTCCCGGTGCCAAGGAGTCTTTTAAATCCCCGCCCACACCCCCTGGCCTGGAAAAATTCTGTATAGCCTAAACGGCGAGGAAGGGGAGGAACAAAAAAAAAAATAGTGGAAAGGAATCAGCATATGGCTTGTAGTTTGACTCTCTGCCCAATTCCATGCTAGAATTGTTATGCTAGAAATGTTCTACCTATTTCTAAAGAGGTAAAACCATTACCAAATATGATGGCTTCATAGTAAAGAACTAAAAAAAAATGCTAAAGTGTACTGGTGTACTGGTACAGATAACAATAAGTAGAATATGGGAAAACTTCATTAGCTACTGTTGTATGATATAAAGGGAGAAACAGAATAAGAGAGGAAAATTTTTCGCAATTAAGATTCATTCAATATATAATTAAATAAAACATAAAGATCAAGAACGCTTCCGGTTTATATAAACCTATCATATTATATTAATAATGAAAAGTATATAATATTAGATACAATAGTTTTTCTTTTATCATTAAATCATTTTTCTTTAATCCTTAAAAAAACAAATTATATTGGAAAGGTGTATAGTATAAGTTAACACTTTACTATTAGGAGCTAAAAGTGTACAATATAAACACAAAACCTTGACTAATCACAAATTGCGATGCATTAATTGTAAGAAATTTACAGGATAATTAAGTGTAAGTTAATAAAAGGAAAAATCCAATGTGATTCAATAATAAAAAAATCATAAAATAAGCTAAGATAACAAGCCATACTTGTGCTTCAGTGATTATATATTTGTATGTTCAAACACATACCAAGATAAGATGTGATTTTATAAATGTGAGAGATTATGAGTGTAGGCAGGAAGAGGATTGGCAATGGCACTCATGCTCGGAATCGCGAACGTAACCTCAACTCTGAAGGAAAGGGTATTCATCGCATTAATTTATCTTCAACAAGATCCTCAACACAAAAACTTAAAAAGAGATGCCGAGACAAAGCACCAATAACATTTAAAACAAATTAGACAAACAATGAGTGGTAAAAAAAAAAAAAAAATGAGAACATGAATGCAAAAAAATTTAGCAGGCCGAAAGACTGTACATAATGAGACCAATTTCATCAAAAAGAAAGAGTACAATTTAGAAAAAAAAAACTAAAAAAAAAAAGAAAGATTATAATGTAAAAATATATAAAGAAAAGAGATAGAGAGAAGTGAGATTTTTAAAGTTACTCGTGGCTTGAGACAGCTTCTCTGAAGTGCGAACTCCACCTCCATCCGAACTTGAAGTGGCAATATGACAAAAAATAAAGTTAATAAATTTCGAGTGGTGTGTGGTGTCTGGTGAATAAGGGGTTGTAGGCGTGTGTGTTTTTGTGAATAAGGCCAAGGAGTAAGGGTAGCTAGGGCAGCTTACCTTCCCGGACGTAGGTGTCACTGGTGGCGTTTCATCTAAGCTCGGAGACAGTCTGCTTTCAGGCAGTCGTTGCTCTTGAACTGATGCTAACCTGCAATGGTCAAGAGAATAGAGATCAACTTAACTACATCAACATTCCTTACCACACTTTTTTTAAAACAAAGATGATAAACCCCTATTACCAAAACCAATAAGAAGAAATTAAATTTCATAGCTTTAAATAAATGCAAACAAATATGGTTACAAATTATTAAAATATTTAATTGTTTTAAATGGTTGATAATCTTTCTGATGCTACAAAAACTATATCAAGTAAACACTCATATAATGGGATTAACATTTGGTTGGGATCATGGAAAGCGAGTAAGTGTCATAAGTGTCATTCCTATCCCAGCTGTAGGAGTGTAGTTTGGTTTGTAGTATCGGTAATGAAGACATGCAATGAGATAAAAAAAAAAACAATAAAAGGAAAAAAAATAACTTTCTCTACTAAACAGTTTTATGAACATGGAAACTGAACCTCTGCCTAAAAGTTCTTATAACTATCATTCACTTTTATAATTGGAAGCAATTAAATTGTAACATTTCCAGCAACAAAAATTACCAACATAGGAAATACTATCAGCTCAGATTAAATTAAAGCTTAGTCTAAATACAAAGAATAGTATGAACAAAAAATACTAAAAAAAATAAAATGTTTTGGACTAATTAAGTTACAATAAATTTACACAGTTACATGCATCACTCCTTTCTCAAAGGTACTTTGTACAAAACTGAATATAAATAGCACAATAAATATAACAAAATAGATAATTAAATATGTATAACTTAATTATCCTTCAAAACCATGGAATAGCTCCTGAACTACATGCAGCATTGTAAAGAATGAAGGCATTAAATAATAAGCACAAACAAAACCTTACCGCTTCAAAGTGACTAGAGTTCCAGTTAATTTCTTACATCTCCTTAAAGCGCTTTCTAATCTCTCAGGTTCATCCTTTAGGAACCTGCATTCAAAAAGCCATAATGTTAACAATAATATTATTTTCTCCTTTTTGGTTTTTGTAACCAAATAAACAAAAAATATATAAATAAAATAATATAATACTTATTGTACTTATAGATTATCAAAGATAATATATTAATTTGAAAGTATAAATGAATGCTGAAAATATTTATTTCTTTATCTGACCAAAACCAATATTCCTATGTATTTATTTTTACTTTATTTGGTTATTTAACAATCTGGATTTTTAAATCATGAAAATTATCTGTTTCCCAGATTTTAAAGATTATACTTATTAAAAAAAAAAAATAAAAAGCCTGTACCACTACCAACTCAATAATTAACAATTTCAATAATTCATGCTTGTATATTATCGACCAGAAATGTAGTCCTGCAGTGAATGGGGAGAATAAGAAATAAACACTATACTTGAATTTAACTAAACGCCATGATAATTTAACTATGTACTAAAAGTTAATCTGATTCATCTTATGTTTGATATATATTCAGTCACTAGATGTAGTGGTTAATAATTCTTGATTTTTTATATTAAAAAAAGTTTAAAAACGAATAAAGGCAAAAAATGGTTTATCAAAGCATGGCTATTAACACATTTTCCCAATCTCTCAGGAAATTTATGGATTGCCCTCCCACATCATTTAAGATGGCATAAACATCAAGTAAACCGTTTTTTGACATCTACGTTGAAATGTTTCATGGAGAATTTGTGAGGCATCAATGAAAATAAATTTATGTGAACAATAGTTACAAAAAAAGCCATTACAGTAAAATCCTTTAGCTAGGATATTACTGTAGTTTAATTTAATTAGTAAAATAATGAACTGTAGTTGGTAAGAAGTATTATAATTACAGTTTACAAGTGGATGATGAATTTAAAAATAATAATAGTAAAAATATCAACTTACTTTTCTTCGGTTACCACCTTTTCCATTTCTTGTGCAATAACTCCTTTGATAGCATCTTGAAGACTTGGAAAACGTAATTTTAACTCGGCAACTGTTTTACTGCAAACAATTTTATTAAATGATTAAATGATGAATTAACAAAACTCATTTCATTCCATATTATTCTCAAGTATCAATAGAACAGAGTTATGTTTGGCAGAAAAATACCGTTATATCAATCTGCATTAAATTCCTATTCATAGCCATGGTTAAAAAATTTCAGTCGATAATCTATAAACATTTCATTACTATATAATTATTTTATTATGTTTGTCCAATACCCTTCTAGATTTCAAATTAGAATATTTGAAAACTAAATACTGTTAAAGCAATTCAGTACATTGATTATTTTCTTTATTTAAACATTTTATGATACTTGAAGTATATTCAAACAGCAACAGTATTTGGTCACGTTAAACATCAAGAGTAAGAGATATTTTTTTTTTTCCGTCTTTCCTTCCTCGCCTTTAGGCTATACAGGTTTTTCCCAGGTCAGGAGATGAGGGCAGTGTTAGACATCAAGTAACTTCCATGAAGAATTTGGGGATTAATTTTAGACGATTCATAGGATAACTTTTGAAACTAAACTTTATCTATGTATCATCTAAAATTAATCCCCGAATTCTTCATGGAAGTTTATTTCTTACTTGACCAAATACTGTGGTGTTGGAATGCATTTCAAGTATAATAAAATTTTAAAATAAAAAAAACAATAAATGTACTGAATTGCTTTCAAGGGCAGATCAACCATCTACCAAGTATATATGCTAAGGATGATTTTTGAAAGAGGTCATGAGTATAACCTGCCAACCCACCATCTATTCATTCTTATGACGGCTTAAAGTGAGCAAAGATGTATGAGGCACTTTTGGAGATAAATGTTCCAAATAAGGTGATTCACCTTGTGAAGCTGACAATGGAAGTGGCGAGGTGTCAAGTAGATGGCCTGGCTTCTCCTTTTATTTAATTTTGCTCAAAAGAAAGGGGTAAGAAACTCCAGAATCCAGACGTGAGACACCATTTCTCTCTTATGGTGTAGATATTTAGTTACACCAATGACATAGATATAGTTGAAAGGTCTCAGCCAGAGCTAGAAGAAGCATTCCTTAACCTTTTGAGAGCTGATTCAACCATTGGTCCGTTAAAAATGAAGTATTAATAAAAATGAACAAAGTATTTCTGCACAGGGGGTGGAGACGATCTGGAGTTGAACAGGTAATGGACTTCATTTATCTTGGATCCCACATGACCACATGAAGCTTACTCTTTATAAGACCTTATTAATCTGATCTGTTTTCACCTATGTCTCACTATTAATGGTCTATTAAGAGTTGCTGAGGAATGGAAGATTGGGAAGAACCAAGAGCTGTACCAAATCTACAAGGTGGCTGATATAGTCAAATTAATTAAGCTTGGGAGACCCAATTGGGATGGTCACAAAGATATCTGAACTCTGAAGAGATTTTTCATAGGATCTAAAGAGCTGGAAGACAAAGGTTAGGGTTGGTACCCAAGATAGATTAGAGCTGACACAGTGGCAGCACAGCACAGAGCCAAATGGCGGAGCCTTATTGAGGAGGCAGAGACCCACTCCAGGTTGTAGCACCACGGAGGTAAGTATAAATATTATTGATCAATCAAGATACACATTGGCTATTAAATATAACCAAATGAATAGAATGCTTTATATTCATACAATTCTACAGCCTTTTCAATGTTTTATTCATGGCAAAGAATTAAAGGGTAAGCAATAAAGCTGATAGTGATTGATTGAACTATAAGACACAATAGTTTCAAAACCATCCCATTTATTTTTTAAAAATTCACAAGATACACAAAAAATATGCTATTGTTCCCTATTTGATGTATATACCCCATGAGTTTGGATCCTTCATACTGGATTGAGATGCTTTTAGACAATAGGTGCTGCGAGAAGGTGCATTACATTCAAATCTTTTGAAAATTAAATTGTTTTAAAAATTGCTGAAATTATTAGTATAATTTGAGAAGGAGTTAGTCGAGGGTGCGGTCAAATAAATAAAAAAATTAAAATTATTTATATATTTTAATTTTTTTATTTATTTGACCGCACCCTCGACTAACTCCTTCTCATATCATATCAACGGTCAACCATCTCTACATCATTATTAGTATAATTCTTTTAGGCACAAATAAAACAACTTTTAAAGATTGAAACAAATCACCTTAAATACAATATATTTATATGCTAGGAATATAAAATATTACTTACCTTGATTTGCTCAAAATAAGTGCCATACTCTCTACATCTGACATATTGACTCGGGTTTTCCTATTTATCACATTACCTCTTAATTCTTCAACAGTTCCTTCAAGTTCTCTGGAAATGATTTTTTAAAATACTTTATCAGTATTTGCTTAATTTTCATTTTAATATAAAAAGCTATTAATTAATTAAGAGGTCATAAAGTTACATTAAAGATTAAAATAAACTTACGTTAAATCTGATTCAAGTCGCAACATTTGCTGCCTGTATAAATCTCCTTCTCGGTTCACTCTCATCCTTGCTTCATCACCGTTAGGACACCAAAGCCCCTCTCCACCAGCAGACATCAATACAGCCCTAACAAATAAATTTGTAAGTGACAATGTTTTACTCAGATTGAATTTATAAACTCTTTGATGTGTTTGTGATCTCAAACCTTATTTTTAGGAATGTATCTCTAATAGTTTCTCTAACTGAATGTGCCTGGGCTTGTGACATCCTTCTAAGGGCTCGAACTTCTTGGCGTAAATCTTTTGCTTTCTTTTGCAAACCTCGCAAATGATTATACATTTCAGCAGTAAGTTGTAAATCTACAATGAAAATGCAAACAAGTTCAAAAGATATGTTTACTCAATCCAAAAGAATTGTGGGATTAAGTCTATTCATTAAACATACCAGTACCAGATAATAATGTTTGTATACATAGATAATTTCTTACCTTTCTGATCGATTTTGTTATGCATTTATCATTTTATTAAAATAATTTTTAATTCAAGACAAATAAATTAATTTTATGCAAATATGACATCTTAAATGAACAACTTTTTACAACCTATTTTTCCACTCAAAAAAAATTTAACTTAATTTTGAAGCTCTAGATTGGAGTGCAATTTATCCATACCCTTCTTTTGATCGTATAGTGAACATCCTTACTGGTAATCTTTTCAGTATCCTTGACACTCATGCCCCTCTTAAAATCTTTACCTTCTGTCGCTGAATAGTTCTTTTTGTTGAGAAATCAGAGATATCCAAAAAAGGCATAAGGTAGCCCATTGATGAGTTTGACATACATGGTTAGCAGAGCATTCTTCAACTTGAAGCAAACAAGAGTTAGGCAAGCAAAATCCAACTACTTTCATGAATCTCTTTGCTCTACTCCTGATTCTAAATCAAAATGGCACGTTCTGCTCAAACTCACTCTATTCCAATCCACCAGTTTCCCTATTTTCACTGGATGAATTGAACTCATACTTCGATTCTTCCTCCATCCATATTACTCCACTCTTCTCTTCCTAGTTATCTTAGATCCATCATTTAACTGTGATAATTTTTATTTTTTCTACATCTCTCTTACTGATTTTAGTACCTCCATGAAATCCTCCAACTTCTAGTTCTTCTTTTCATCTATAATTTTTCTCTCCAAAATTTAGTACTTCCTACTTCCTGGAAAAAAAGCCTTAGTCTAGCCGATTAACATTAACTCAAACTCAACTTCTCCTAGTGAATTCTGCCCAAGCATTTTTTTTTTTCTCCCCGTTGTTTTACATTGTTGCCATATGGGGATTTGGCAGCAGTGGGTTAATACGTTTGGGTTCTCGTCCTTACTCATTTTCTCCCACTTTGACTACAACTGTATGATTAATTATGAACTGCTCACTAAGATTTGTTTTCGGTAGGTCGAGGAGGTCTCATACGTTTCATATCTATGAAAAGTTAAAGTGGCTCTTCCTCTTCTCTCGTTGACAACATTTAAGATTAAGATGCTTTTTATACCCAAGTATCAACTGCCGGTACCCTTCCTAAATCTACATGTCTTCTACAATTCAAGCCCTTGGTCTCAAAAAACAAGAATTCAAATTTCAGACCACTATACTCCTTTCTGAAATTCCCTAACATCTAATATCCGCCATGCTCCTTCCCTTTCTTCATTCAAATCTCTCCTTTTCTGTTTCCTCTTCACATCCCAAAAAAATGGCTATGACATTGAGCGGAAAATGCTATAACACAAAAATAATAATAATAAGCATTGCACTTCTGACTACTTCTTTTTCTTTAGAATTTTGTTTATTTTAGATATTCTTTTTCTTTTGAATTTTGTTCGTTTTAGATATTGTTGGAGGATACAGACAGCTGAGTGAGTAAGGCATTGCCTTTATCTCTCTAGGCTAGGTTGGAGTCTGGCAGATATTGTTTTGTATTATGAGTAGTGGATCGACTCAGCGGTAAGGAGACTCTACCGGGGCACACCCCTACCTCTGGGGCAATCTTAATGAAAGGAAAGTCTGGAGGAGCATGATACCCTCTAAATCATAGAAACAAATTCCTCTTCCTTAGAAAAGATTCAGTACATCCTAGACTCTTCACGAGTAGTAATTCTATAGGTTTTATATCTGTACCCCAGAGGTAAACAATAACATGTCCATTTTTTTTATTAAATAATTTAGTAACAAATAAACAAATTTAAATAGCTTAAAGTTATGGAAAATTGTCTCCCTAAACAAACATAAAAATGTGACAGGGTGTCCTTTACCTCTGGGGTAAAGATAGACTAACTAAGAAACAGATTATAATAGCTCTAAGTTCTGAAACATTAGCTCCCCTGAACAAATAAAAAAATGGATATGGTGTTCTTTCTCTCCAGGGTACAGATATACAGCTTGTAAAAGTAAAGTAACAATTGAATGAGTATAACAAAACCTTTCTTAAGAAAGTTTTACAGTTTTATTCTGGTCACATAAATTCAATATTTGGTTCTGAGCCAAGTTGATAAAGAAAACAAATGATAATACATGTTTGCTTCATAGTGAATAAATTTGAATTTAATTAAGCTTTCTTAAAACTTGAAAAAGTTTACTTAGCATCCTTATCCATTTAACACTTATGAATCTAAATCAATAGATTAAAACTAATTAAGGATTAATTATCCAATACAGCATTATATGTATACAACTTTAAATTAAACCTTCCAAACAAAACAATAACTATTAGCTATGCTAATGACAGAAAATGAAAACATTTATAGAGTTATAATTTTTTTTTTTAAATGTAGTATTCTCTGGCAGTAAATTATTTTATTAATACTTATCTATATTTAATTTTTAAGAATCAATGACACTAATAATACTTTCAGCATGCACCATACCCCTATAAACATTTCTGCTTTCGTATTGCCCAGGTGACAGTGAAACAGGCTTCGGAGGAGGTGTCGGTTTATGTCGATCTCGATCTGCAATGAGCCAATACTTACGATTATAATGAAAGTAATATTTAATAATTTATATCCAGCAATTTATACAATCTTCACTTAATTCATAAAATTTATATTTATCATTTTTATACACATGTTAAAGTAGTTTATGAAACAACTTACCAATTTAAGTGAGAAGCTGTTATTAATCAATCTACTACTGATAGCATAATTAGTAAGTTAGAATGTAAACAAAATTAAGAAAGGATATGTTTATTAGTCAGTTAAAAGAGAACTACGATTAAACCATAAAATGTTTCACCAAATTTTAATTTGTTTATTGAATAAATTAATTGTAATATACATTATATAAAAATTACCTTTATAAACAAGACAAAACCAATAGATTTTTTAATAAAGACTAGAAATATAAATGTATTAGATAGATAGGCTATTTTTAAAATTGGTAAATAAATTCAAAATAATAGAAAAAACATTTTATAAGAATAGGAGACAATTTAATTTGTAATAGTTAAAACCGTTTTTAAATATTTATGTTATATGACGTAAACCCATTTGCCACCATCTCAATAATCACCACAGTAGGTAAAATATAACTGAATTCGAAAGTAAATCCTTGACATAAGGAATTCATGTTGTAGATATAGATTTTACATTATCTAGGTGAACAATCTTTTACAATAAAAATACTAAATTCTTTGATTATTATAGGTATTAGAGTTGTCCCACAGCTCTATTATCTGTCTAAAAAGATTTTAGAAGTAACTTATAAAAATGAGAAAGTTTATTAGTATCAGGTAGTATTGAGATAATGCAAAAGAATAAACAAATAAGTATAAATGATCAATCTTCTATTTAATTTAAGTCCTCAATCATAAAATGTGAATTTATCTTGATTCAATTAATTAATTAATTAAAAGAGTTTATATTATTTAAATTTACCAAAAATTGATTAAATAATTTAATTTTCCTAGTAGAAAAATAGTATATATTAAGCCTAAAAATCTCCATCTAGTTACAGCAATTACTGAAAGGCACAGGCGGATCTACGGAATGGGGGAGGCTTTCGGGCTGAAGTCCCCCTCAAAATGATAAGTTTTATGAAAAAAAATAAGGACTTCAAGTATCACTTAAACACTATTTCATATAGGTAGTTAGTTTCTTTTTTTTTTCTAGAGTAATTATCGCTATATTTATAAAACAAAAAACCTATCGGGCTGAAGCTTCCCCCCTCCCAAAAAAAAATTAAATTCTGGATCCGCTAGTGCTGAAAGAGGAAGAGTTAAAACTTAAAAACCATTAAAGAACTATTGCATTAAATAAAGAGATCTAAATAAGAGCCCCACTTAAAACCTAAATAAATTATGAAATCAGTACACAAATATTATTTAAATTAAAAAGTTAAAACCTACCTTGCGAAGACATACGGGGAAGAGTAGATGACTTGATAGCTGGTTTCGTCGGTTTCGACTCAGCTGCAGGCAAGCAAGGTGGGAAAACAATGTTAGTAAATGGAAGGCATGCTTATTTGTTACTGCTGCCCACAATTACTTTTTTAAATAAAATAAAAAAAAAAAAAAACAGAAAAAGAGAAGATATTTTATCAGGATTACAAATTTTCTATGGCAAAACTAATGAAATCTGTGAGGTACATTTATACCATCCCACAATCAAACAAATGAATGAAGATGAAAGCAGCAGAAACCAGATCAATAGAAGAAAGTGGATGCAGTTAATCGTAAAGCTTCCACCTCCACCATCTCACATTTCAAAACATGCTTATTTACATTAGTATTTTATAATAAATAGTTGAAATAAAATCATTTCTATCTTATTATATTATTTTAAGATAGCTATGAGAAAGTAAAAATTGTTCAATATAAATTATATAAAGCTTACATCTTAAACTTAGGTATAGTTAACATATCACAAAAATAAAAAAGGAAAAAAAGAAAGAAAGAAAGAAAAAATTAATGCCCACCCATAAGATATAAACTCTAACGAAATATAGGAAAATAAATTTTAAAAAGTCTGGAAAAATTATAATATGAACAAAGTTTTAACTTCACTTTTAATAGCCTGGAAAATAACATCAAAATTTGTATGTTTGTCTGTTAAAACATCTAAATTTCTTTAATGGAAACTATAAAAAAAAACAAAAAAAAAAAACAGATCTCCATTACCAGTCAAATTACAAAAATAATGCTGTTATTCAATTTAATAAATTATAATTTAAATGAATCACATGAGAAAAAAATTCAAAAATATTTTTTTTTTAAGATTAAGTGTGGAGGGAGACAACAGTAGCTGTCCAACTTATAAGGCCTGATAAAATGTTAAATGAAAAAATAAAAAAAATTGGGCTCAACATTCTTATGTAATCAATAGATTTTAAATGAAATTATATTTAACAGGATTTTCTTAGGAACTGATAATCATTTTAGCTAGTAGTCATAAAAAAACACACAATTTCCATTCCTTTGAATGAAGTTGAATTGGTATTGTAATTGGTGGAGGGAATGAGTCTGGCAACTGGTTATAATGTTCTTTTTGCCAACCTCTGTTAGTCACCAGGAGCACAGCCAAAGATATATTTTTTTTTTTTAGGTGGGACTACCCTTTATAAGGAGACCACAGAGTTTGGAAGACATTGCAATTAATGGATAATCTATTTCATAAATCAAACTATAAAATTGATTGTTATAGAACAAGGTAATTGAAAAATTTCATTGATACATCTACAAAGATAAATTTTTCATAAAGTGAATAAATTTCCTAACTTTCCCCTACCTAATGAATAATAATTAATGCTCAGTTATTCTACAAGTATTATATTGTATTACAGCAGGTATATATTAAACAGCAGTTTTTTTTTTCCTCAATTGTTATTTTGGGAGGATATTTCCCCCTTTTTTCCTCCCACAGAGTAGCTAAGTCCTAACTATGGTGAGAATGTTGAACCACAACTAAAATATTAAGTGAAACTGGTTGGAATCAAACTGATAACATAAAACCACTGCACTTGGCTGCCTCAGCATAAGTATATGTAAATAAGAAATACTTTATTTTGAAGATAATAGTTTGATAATAACTTCCACATCTAATGGAAAGTCACAGTAGGGGAGGGTATATAAGAAAAAGACAAACTAAACAAATATACTCAACGTTTCTGAACCATAGGGGGCTAAGATGGAAAGATATTGTCAACCATCCTGCAAACCAGAGATATTAAAAGATCAACCAGATCATTCACTGATTTTTGAACTGAAATTAATAAATGAAATCAATGTTCATTATTCCAGAAAATAAGCAAATTCTCATAAAAATAACCTGCAAAAGCATCTGAGAATCCAGGGATAGATATTAACAATTATGATATATAAAAGAAACAGAATGTAATAAACGGATCCAGAAGACATTGAGTTACAGAAAAACAGGATCATACCATATTGGATTATGAGATGCATGTACTAAAAGTAAGCACAATATATTTCAGAATAAAAAAGAACGAATCCTAATTGTTCAAAACATCAGTTATACCAAAATGCTATGACGAATGACAGGGCTAAGTCTGGATAGTAAATGAGAATTATATCTGTCTCCGATAAAGTGAGTGTTTACTGAGAAACATGCTCTAAATTTTTTCGCTTGATTTTGCTATGAATTCTAATTAAAGTGAATACAGCCGCCATCTTTAAACCTTTTAGCCTTTTATCCTCTAATCTCTAAATTTGTTTTTCAAATGACCTCAAAATAATTTTTATCAGAACATAGATTTTTTAAGAGAAATAAAACAAGTCCAGCAGTGAAAACAGTGTAACAAATTTAATGATTAAAAAAATAATTCTTTGATTTTTTCCCATTAGAGAAAGAAATCATTGATTGCATATAAATAGCACTATCCATAACTGAAGTATTAAAACAAATTATCACCTTAGTTGGAACTGTCATCAAGTTCAATGATTCGCTGTAATTTTGACTTATTTTGTTTGATAATCGAATGACTTGAATAATATAAAATGTAAGTTTAATGGAATATTGGTAATTTTTTGAGGTTAATCCTTTTTCCTATACTTATTGATCAGCCACAGCAGTGTAACTAAACTGAAAAGGAAAAGTGCTCTTTACATTGTTTTGCAGTATAAAGCTGTTTTGGTGCTAGGTTACATTCACTGAAAAAACCAATGGCCAGTTGAACATAAGTGCTCCAATTGCTGAACATTATGCAATTATCCTACAATATAATTTATAATCAGCAACCATATTAATAAAACATAAGACATTAAATGCCTATCATGATTATTTTTAAGTTGAGATTAATAAATCCCGTATTCAGTTCATCTATTTCCAAAGAATAAATAACATACAGACAAGAACTGTACATAATTTCCAAACCACCACGGTAAATTTTATTACATTTATTGTTTTCACCTTGAGTGTAAAGCTCCTTGTGAGTGATAGCGATGAATGATTCATGAATCTCTTGAACGGACAATAATCAAACATACTTCTATATTAATTCAGAGCTTGCCTTGAAGCTGTGTACATTTTTGAAAAGCTTCTTTGTCAAATCTTAAACAATAATGAAACATACATTTACATTGAATCAATAGAATGGCATGTAAATATATTTAAGTTTCTTTGCCAACTCTTTAGCCTTACACTCTAACATAAGTCCAAAAATTTTATTAATGATTGTCATTTCTCTTGAGTTTCAACATCTTTTTATTTTAATTGTTTAGGTTTTTCATTATCTACTGGTGATAAAAAATAATCTCAATTTTACAATAATCTCTCCAGCTGGTTTCCGATATATCATCATATTAACTGACCAATGTTCTGATCCAAAAAAGTTATGAAATTTTACATTTTTGAGCCTATTTTGATTTTGCTTCAGGGAATATTAAATAACGAAATCACTGGGCAAAATGAACTGAATTAGTTTTTTCAGCTCAGCTGCAATACCTTTAATGTTTAATAAATTATAAAACACATTTAAACATTAGATACACAAATATGTAGTTCACCGAAGATAGGTATTTTAGAATAAAATTAGTTTATTCTACGAAATGAAATGATAAGAGTCTCAGCCGAATGTATCTCTTAAATATAACCGTGCTTTACATTTGGTTTTCTCAAACTGCACATTAATTCTGTATACATGTAGCTACTTGGTCATACAAGAGTGAATTGATCTTATTTCAGTCACAATTACTTGAAGAAGAATCACTTTGTGTGAACCCAGAAATAAAACATAAATCTCTATAATTTATAAAATTGTTTAGAGGCTTCTTGTTAGTAAAATTATTCAAACCTTAATATTTATGTGACATTGTCTGTATATTATCTGGCTTCACTTTCAATAATCAAATTACAGAATACAGAGGCAATCAGATCTCTCGGTCTTAATCTACTGACAGACATAAAAAGAAATAAAGAGAGATAAATTTGGTGTCAGCATTTTGTAAGTTTAAGCATGTAAATTTCATCAACATATTAAGTTTTCTAAATTTTCCTCTAAAGAACATTCCAGATTTCTTCCCTTTAAACATTAAAATGTGTTTTTATTTTAATTAATGAAAACGTAATACGAATATAAGTTGCTAAAAGAACAAAAGTATGTAAGATGTGAATGTATCTAGACTCTTATGGCATACTATAAACATTTTAAGTTGAATTAATAGAGCTTTTTGGAGAAAGCTATTTTATAACCAAATTAGTCTTTCCAGATTTAATCTTTAATTTTATGGATATATCTTTTCAACCATCCAAATCAATAATATTATATGCTATTGAGATATATAGCTGTTTTAAGTAATACAATTGATATAGACAATTAAATAATTGCTGATATTAAGGAAATTAAAGAGTAAATTTGTAACTTACAAATTGGTGAAAGACAACAAGAAAGAGATCATATCCAACTTTTGCAGCTGACTAGGCAGATAGAGATGGTTGTACCATTGAAAATGAGAGACAAAAATAAAAAACTATATATAATACAAAAAAATTCTTTTTGGATAATTATGTTAAATTTATAAAATTATGAGTCTCAAGAATTTAATGAAGACAAGGATGGTTGGGGTGATAAGTCATAATAAAAATGACAAAAATAAATAATAATATTAATTAAATTTATATTATTATTATTTATTTTTGTCACTTTTATTTTGGCTGATCACCCCAACCACTAGCGGATCCAGGATTTAATTTTGGAGGGGGAGGGGGGCTTCAGCCCGAAAGATTTTTTTTTCATATATATAACGATAATTAATTTGAAAAAAAAAAGAAGAAAGAAATGAGCTACCTATATGAAATGTTGTTTAAGTGATTCTTGAAGTCCTATTAAATGTAATTACATGAACAAGAATACTTTAAGAGATAGTTTTTAATATTTTTTCTATAAAACATGGTTGTATTTTACCGTTTTGGGGGGGCTTCAGCCCGAAAGTCCTCCCCTAAATCCGCCTGTGACCCCCACCATCCTTCTCTTCATTATTCACTACAGTCAACCATCGACCCACAATTAAGAATTTAACTTTGACAACTTCAATTAAATTATAAGAACTTCCTATGGTTCCAACTGGTCTATTATACAATCAATGTCCTACTAATTACAACTGTTAGTATTAAAGGCAAGATAACTTTCAATTATGCAAAAATAAATTCCTAATAACTTGATAAACTCAAAAATATTAATAATCTAGCATTAGATGCTTATGTTTTAAAATATGGTTACTTCATATAAAGAAAGGTTATGATCCATTCACTTTAATTGGATCATAATTTCAAAACTTATCAAACTACATACATTGTGAGAAATACAGTTACTAGAGTAAGTTCTGAAGTGTGCAAAAAAAAAAAAAAAAAGATGTTTTCTTTTCCGTTCTTAACTTTACAAAAAAAAGTAACTATAATACTATGGGAAGGCACAAAATTATTTTTTTCTTTTTTTCTTAATCTTTAAAAATTTTCATATACATATATATAATGTGTATCTACATTTATTTTTTTTTTTTTGGTGAAATTATTATTTTACCTGGGTGCTGCGGGGAGTGCTGCTTGGGAGAGTTCATGTCAGGTGGCTCGTCGGAGAAAGAGACGGACTTCTCGAACGATACGGACTTGTCTGTCCAAAAGTTACCATTAGTCACCGATACCCCATATATAATGCTGCCGGTATGTACTTAGTATACACTAGTATTAGTCAGTGATAACTGAATTACTTTATCAAATTTACTGTACATAGATCAATTATTTAAAATAAAAATAAAAAATATATATATAAATATATTGAATAAGAAATCTGACATTATATAAAACATATTGGTATAAAAAATTAATTTTAAAAAAAGTTGAAAAGTATTAGGGCCATGTATGGAAGAGCCACTAACTAATCTTTTTGTAATTACTAATAAGTTTTTTTTAAATAACAAAATATTTAATAACTTTGCCCATTAATATGAGCTATTTAAGTCATTTTAAAACCAACAAATGTAAAATAAAAGAAAGAAATACAAAAAAGAAAACAAGAATAATTTCTATACTATAAAAAACAATTTCCAAAGGTACCATTTTAGTGAGATTTAAAAGCTGGCAACTTTAATTTATATCATTAAATGAAGTGGATTTAATTGAGACAGTTGAAAAGCCATAAAGACATACTTAAAGCCCATTTTTTCAATGAGACTTAATTTTTACACTTGTTTATTATGACATAAATAAAACAGACTATTTTTAAAAGCAAGGAAAAGTTAAATAAACTGTTCATATTTATTTTAATTTTACATTAATTTCATTTGTTTTTTTTCATGTAATAATTTAAAATATAATTCAACCTGACTAATATTTACACACATACCGGCAGCATTTCAAGATGAAATAGATTGTCTTGAGATGAAATACCTAATTACCAAAGTTCTTTGATTTAATCATGCAATTCATTTCATTTTTAAATAATATAGAACAATTCATATAAAACCTCCAATGGCTGAACAATAGGTGTTCTATAGTTTTGTAAATAGGAAGTGACCAGTGATGTGTAGCATACGCAATTTAACTTGACTCGCCCAGTACACATCATTCATAGGGCTTCTTAAGGATTAAGAAAAGAAAGGGAATGAAGAAGTTTCTATGAGAAATATAGCTACAACTTCTATGTTCATTAGTATACATCAAAAGTGCTTAATTATCTGTTCCAAAAATGTTTCATGCCCCTATGTTAGTGTATAATAAAAGAGTGCTCATTACCTCTGCCAAGTTTAGGCGGCTTGGTATCAGATCTCAAATAGGTGTCGTCTGGTAAAAAAGAAATGTGTGTGTTAGTGCTTTAATATACGGCTACTGTGAATGAGAGAAGAGATCTTACTTGGTTAGAGCCAAGTGTTGTTTATTCTTTACAACTCTCCAAACTATACTTCTTACCAAATATATTTCATACCTAAAATTTTATAACTGATAATGGAACATAATAATTCTACGGTGAGTTAGTCAAAAAGTAAATAAATAAAATAAAATAAATTTAAAAAAAAACTTGGTTAAAAAATTATAACAATGTATGTTCTATGGGTAACGATAAAATGAATTAAAATTTGACTGGTAAAAAACATTTTAAAAAATGGTAAAAAATAAAACCGTAAAAAAATGGTAGGTTTAGGTTGTACAAAAATAATTTAGAATTAAATGCAAAGAACCCAATTATGCAAAGTAAATGCTCATATATACATAAAATAAAAAATATTTTTCATAAGCATAAATTTCAGAAAATTTGAAAGTAACAACACAAACTAATTTCATTCATTTTTTATCATTAATCCCATATACTGAGCATTGCAAGTTAGGGAGTGAAAAAATAAATAAATAAATTTAAAACATATAAACAGGCTTATAATTAAAAGTTTTCAAAACGATAAATTTGTGGAACAGTTTTATAAGATAGTTGAAACAACCAGAAATAATTTACTTGTGTTGTTTCTCTTTTGTTCAATAACGGCTTTGGCGAAAATGTTCAAAACTATATATGTTTGGTTTGGCAAGCAAAAATAATTTAGAGACATATTATTACTATAAATGATTCTTTAAACCAAAGAAATAATTAAAAAATTAATTAAGAAAAAATCCTTAGAAAAATAAAAGTGAAAAAAAGTTTACTAATTTATGAGAGAGTATATGATGAAACAACAGTAACAAAAAAAAAAAAAAGTCTTTCAAACACTAATTCAAGAATCAAGTAAAGCATGTAAGTATTGTTTCAGTTTAAAATCTCAATACATTGCATTTATTAGGTCTATGAATAAAGAAATTCTGAAAATATTTTTTATTAATTACTGATAAAAAATGTACGGTTTACAACAAATTATTATCTTTCACTTGTCTTATTTAATTTAGCACTGGAATATGCCATTAGAAAGATGATACGTACCAACAATTTTTTTAATATGGATGGAAAATATGTGTGCTTAGATATACTGATGATTTAATATTCTTAGGTAAAGACACAGAAACCATAAAACTAAATATAACAATATTGATTAAAGTTGGTAAGGAATTGGGACTCAAAATAAATATGGATAAAATAGAATATATAGTTAGCAGCGGAAATGACTAAAATGTCGTAATGTACCTATAAAAGGGAATACATTTGAACAAATAGAGAAATTAAGTATTTAGAAATTACAATAACTAAAAAAAAAATTGCAGAAAAAACTAAGAGTATGTCAAAGGGCTACAAAATACTTATAATTTTACAGTTTTACTGTAAAATTTAATGTGTTATATATATCACGTGGCTTCTGTCTCAAACTTCAAAATTAAAATTTACAAAATTACTATACTTCATACGGTTCTTTACCGAATTACATTAAGCGATGATGAAAATCTTAAGGTTTTTCAAAATAAAGTATTGCATAAAATATTTGGACCCAAGAAGTGTGAGTCAACTGGAGATCTTAGCCTATAAGATGCTGAATTATGTGTACTGTACTCAGTAAACTGAGCTAATAACTTTGAAGAAAATAAAAAGGGCATGTAAAATTACTCGGCTTAGTAGCAAATCTTGCAGTGTTAAATTTTTACGATACTCAGTGGATGGAAGTATGCAAATAGCGATCCATAGTATTGGCATTGAACATTTGGGTTTCTTGAGCCTATTTATTATTATAATTGATCAAAAACATCGTGTTTACTACATCATTTTAAAGTATTTTGAAAAATATGTGTACATAATTTTATTTATAAGCCTGTTTACACAAAACAATTTAAGCTTCAAGTTTTTTTTTATTAAAAGATCAAAGAATAAGTAATGCAAGGAGTTGCATAACCAATCATAAAAAAAATAATAATAAATAAATAAAACATATATGTATACACTAAGGTTTCAATAACATAATTATTATGCAGATTTCAGAACAAACATTTTTCTTAAACTTATCAGTTCTTAATAAAATAATATACCTCAGAGGATTAGAAAAAAGTTGTATCTTACTGCAAAAAAACATGGATGGAGGAATGTAAGGACATTACAATATGAGTTTAGATTAAACTAATTATTTTATCACAACACTTGATATGTGAGACAAGCCATACATCATCAAGTTTTAGATTTATGATAGTGTTGAGGAAGAGGCGGAGAGATTCAATTAACACAGGAAGTTGGCTTCCCTAGTTAAGACAATTTTAATGCAAAATATGCAACTGACAATAAACAAACTTTGTAATTGACACCTTTTAAGGATTTCTGTCTGACATGTAAGTTAGGCAAGGACACAAGATAGTATACACATTTTAATCTTACTGATAAAAAAACTTGCAGGAACTCAAGTAAGAGGCAGCATTTTTAAAAGACCAGATTAGAGAAAGCAATTAGAGAACCATTCTTGAGGGTTGAAAGGGCTGAGAGAACATTCCCATGGTTGTGAACGAGAGTATATTTGTGGTGTAAGATATAAGAAACTAAGATTCCTTGAGTTCAGATATTTTGGATTGGAGTTAGCAAAATGTTAATGCCTAGCTAATCGCCACAGCTAGAATCTTCATTATACCAACTATAAACATTATAATGCAGATGAAATGATCCCTATTGTTACTTGGGCTGGGCTCAACGATATTTGTTGAATTATCAAATTAAATTCCTATTTCATCCTGAGATAATTTATAGCTTACAAGGAACATTTTACACAACTATCCAGAGGTTCTCGTCATGGAGCCCTAAAACATAAGGCATTGAAGACAGACATAAGAGTAGAGCAACATTTTAGATGATACTCATGTTTTTATCACCGAAGCAGGGAGTGTAGAATATAAAATGGAAGAGAACCACTGATCTAGGCCATACAAATTATGAAACAGAGACCTGAGCATATACATATACTGAAAACAGACAGAAAAGCTTTTAGTTAATTATTGAATAAAAAACAAATTAAATAAAAACCTAAAATAATAAATAAAAATAATATTAAACTCTTCCAAAATTGAAGTTTATTAATTTATTGTAAGAGATGTCTTCTTTAAGATGTTGATACAATGCATCAAATTTATTACCAATCTTCTTCCCTGCTCCCCCAAAGAAAAATTATATTAAAAAAACTAATAAAGAATAAATAAAAGCATGCAAAGGACAAGGACTTTTAAGTTCACCATCGTTACAGCACCATAGAGACAAACAATCATATTTTAATGGTCTCATTCTCATTTTTAGCAGGAGAATAATGGAATTGAAATGTGAGGATAAGACAGAACCTTTACGACAACTACAATCATGGAAGAATTCAGTAACTTTTGAATAAACTAACAAACAGTAAACAATCGTGAAGCCTAACTTCACTACACAGATATCACTTGTTTTATATGCATTTAACAAATCAAGTCACTGCAATATTAAAAAAAATCAGATTCTCATAACATGCCATCCATTTCAAACAGTAAAAGTACAATTTCAAAAGTGCATTTTCTACAAATTCTGTGTTTATCAAAAAGAATTTTAAAAATCGGAAATTAACACTACTAAAATTTATTTTAAATTGGAGATATAATTATCTATAGTATAATTATTAAAGAATAAGAGTGTTATTAGCTAGCAAAAATAAAAAAATCTTTACATCAAAAATTCAAACCTTATGTTTTTTTTAAATG